AGAAGAAAGTACAGTAGAACCATTCCATATATTAAATAATATATAGTATGTGAGAAAGCTAGAGAAAAAAAAAAAATTATGAATTCTCTTTCAAAACATTATTAATATATATAACACAATATTTTTCTTTATACTTAAAAAAGCTATAGATTAGATTTGAATCTCTATAACTATTAAGAAGATTATAATAGATATTTTCAAAGACAGAAGTTGTAGTATTCTTTTTTTCAATAGACTTTCTAACTCAATACTGTAGTTGCAAAAGATAATATAGATCAAGAAAAAACAATCTTTTCATTGTTATAGAGAATTTTTTATGACTTGCTGCTATATAAAATTCAAAATAACACTGATTTGAACTATACTATGAAAAAAGAATAGTCATTCAACTTTCACAAACCTGAGAAAAAGGCCAAGTTTTTTCTAAGACAGGCTATATAGATAATACAATAGGAATTGTCAAATTCAAGAAAGACTTGAAAGTATTTTGGAAGAAGCAAAAAAGTTCTACATAATAAATGACTCTCAAATTAATGTAACAAAATTAGTTCTTCTTACTATTAATTGAAAATCTCAAGATTCTGAAAGGGTTTAAGCTAGAAAAAAAATATCACAGTTAAAAAAGTTAATAAAAAAACCAGATCAAAATTCTTGGTATCTGATTGAAATCAAAACAAAAAAGTTAGGATATAATTAGTCTAATAAAATCAAAAATCAGGATAGTAGTCCAGGCAATATTTAAAAAGAAGTTAACAAAAAAACATGTTTAATATATTATTAATAGAGTGTTAATCCCAAGAATAGAATATAGAATACAATATACATATCTTAATAAGAAGACATGTGATGAACTCACATGTTTAAGAAGGTTTTCAAAAACAAGTAAAACAATTTTGAATAGTTGCATTCATAATAAAAAAATATATACTGTAGTCTCAAAAGTATCTGGGAAATACAATTGAAAAGCTATATATCAGTACTATTCTACCAACTCAACAATAGTGAGACCTTCAATATGGCCACTATAATCTAGTTAAACAGAGTCAAATCAAAAGCTGGGAACCTAAAAATATCTTAGATAATCTTGTGAACTTATACAAGATGATCAAAGAAAACCTGGCAACTGCAATATTGATCCTGATTAAAAATCTATAAATTATCTTCCAAAGCTAGAGATGGAAAGAAATCTATAATTATCAAGAAAATATCTTATCTATTAAATCAATATTGCAAAATAATAAAAAATATGAAAAGCCATTCCATCACTTCATAAGTATAAAATCATGTTCCTAAATCAAATCATCAATACAACTATGATAATATTTAAGAAAGAAAGAGCAATTCAAAATTTTTTTAGCAAATACAAAGAATCAGTTCCTTTTTGATACAAAAAATATTTATAAAAATGTGACAAAGAATCATGATCTGCTAAGGATATCATTATATGAACTAGACTAAACAGGCTACAATATTAAAACTAAAGCTTTTCCAGTATATCCAAATAGGAGAAAAATATACTAGGTAGTCTACTCTAGCTTTTTAACTAATATATTGGAAAAGACATCATTCTTGAATAACAAAATCTAGTTTGCTCCATATCAGTTGATATATTGTACAATCCTAATAGGAACTATACTCTATTTCAATCAGATAGATCCTCCCAAGTAACAAAAATAAGTATATCACAAGTTCATATTCTTTCACTATTAAATAATCATGAAAATCCAAAAAAAAAAAAACAAGTTCTCTTGTCAGAAAACCCTACAGATTGACTAATAGCTACAAGGCAATAAGTAGTAACTTTACTAATGTCTAGAGCTAAAATGGAAATCCAGGTAAAAAACTGAAAAGCCATACTAATAAGACAAACAATCTGATCAGAAAAATATTATAAATAAATTTATAGATGTTTTGAAATATAATAGAAAGTGTATAGCTAATCAGTTTATTTTCTATACAGATAGTTTTTATAAAAAGAGACAAAAGATAGTGAGCTTGAAATGGGTCTGGCCTGAGTTCTAGTAGAAGATGACAAAGTTGTGAAACAATTCTCAGCAGGGAATCAATATGGCTATCAACAATTAGGACAAAAATATTAACTATCCTAATTGCAATATATATAGCTCCCTAAAACACAATAGTCTTAATCTTTTTTTAATCATAATATTGTAGTTAAGACATAGAAGTCTATCAGTTAACAAGTGAAAATATCAACAAGGAAATGGACAAAGACTATTAATTGGTCACTATGAAATAAAATCAAAGACCTAGTTAAAAAAACATATCTCACTTTAGAAATTATAAAGGTCAAAGCTCATGAAATTAATAAGTTCAATAATTAAGTAAATTTACTTGTTAAACAAACTAGATATGAAAATTCAATAATCTGTACTAACTACTAAAGTTAGGAACAATTCTTATAATAGTTATATTGAAGTAAGCATACAATAGAAATTAGTATTATAGAATTCATTAAAACATATAATAGGAAAAAAATTAGAAAAGATTGAATAGCATAAAAAAGAATTCAAGAACCATAAATTCAAAATAACAAAATCATAGACTGGTTAACCTTCTGGAATCAGTTCAATCTATCCAATACCTTTAATATTTCTTTTAAAGAGAATAAAGACAAAGCTTTTTAACTAATTTGATCCACAATAAACTTTCAGTATTGCAGATATTCAAGAAAAAAAAATCAGATATTTATATCATAACAACCTGTCTAGTATGTAAATTTCAAGAAAAAATATTGAAACATCTGTTCGAATATCCAGTCACTAAAAAAATCAGAGAATATATATAGAGAAAAGCAAAAGAAAAAATCAACTACTATATTAATAAAGAAATCAAAGACAAAAAAGAAGTTTATTTTACAACCAATAACTAGACAAGTAAATAGTTAAATGAGATTTAATGATCTGATAGAAGTCTTTTTAATACTATTTGTGAATATATGGAAAATAACAAAACCATTTCCTTGAAGAATTATTTCAAAGCACAACTTAAAATTCTCTCAACAGTTATACAGAGCATAATCGATAAGCTTTGTTATAAGATAAAAAAAAATTTCAAAAAGGATATATGAAATAGCTATTACAAAAAAGTAATAAAGTGAAAAGAAGTAGAATATTATTGAAGAGAATAAAAGAATTAAAAGACCTGGGTATAGATCCAATACACAGGTTATATAAGAACAAGAAGAAGAACCTATATTTTCAAAAGACTCAAGGTAAGAAGTTTTTGAAAGAAAGAAAAAAATGAAGTGCTGTATATAAAAATCATCAAAAATTGGATTTGTTATAGAAGGAAATGGTTTTGTTTTTAACTGCAATTGGAATTTAAAATGATCTATAGTAATAATCTATAGGTAATGATTTTATTGACTAGAGGATTTATTCAAATTAGTAAAAAAGTAAAATATTATTCCTTAAGTTACATTTAGAGAAATAGTTTTTTAATAACAGGTGAGTTAATATGTGAAAGTAAAACATTTTATAAATATCTTTTATATATACAATAAAGACAAGCCATATTGACTTGACTGCAAGTTAAAAAAAAATATATTTAATGATTTTTTGAGAAAATTTTTAATGAAATATATAATAAAAATAGTGTAAATTATATAGCAAATAATGTCAAAAGAAATTGATTAATGATTTATTTATATCAAATTATATAGTAGAAATTAATTGATGATTTATTTATATCAAATTATTTATTTTTTTTGATGAATATTATATGAGTGGCATTATATCAAATAAATAATTTTTAACTAATATTTGTAATATTTATAGTTGAATTATAGTATATAGTTGTTGATTTATTTATGTTATTTTTTTGACAAATTAATTATTTTTTTACTTAATGTCATATGAGTGACAATATATTAAATGATTTTTTTTTGACTAGTGAAAGATTAAGAAATAGATAATATAGTTTGCATATTCTCATTTTTTTTAAAGTTCTTTAAGTAGAGATAAAACTTTAATAAATAAAGCTGAGGTTTAAATAATTTTCTTGAGATATTTCAATTTAATATTTACTTAAATAAAGGATCAATTATATTAACTTGTTTGATATCACAAGTGATAACAAAAAAATTTTCTTCTAAAATTCAAGTAAAGCAAAAATATTATTTTAGTTAAACAATCCTTTTGAGAGAAAAACAACTTTATTTTTGAACTTTTTTGATAGAATCTTGAATTATTCTCTTTTCTAAATTATTTTTTTTCTTTTTTTCTAACTTAACAATTTATTGATTTTCAGATCAATCAATAGTAACAAACTATTGATAATAATTCTAATAGATAAAGGTCATAATCAATCTATTAAGAAAGTATAATATTGTTTCCAAAATTTAATCTAGAGTATTTATGTATGAAGATGAGTTAGGTATTTTGTGAAAGTCTATAACCTATTGTAAATTTTGTTTTAATTTTTCAATAAAGTCATATTATTGTAATATAATTATGGATTAACAAAAGAAAAAAACTTATTTATTTTTTATATTTTATATTGATTAGTTACTTTTAATAATTACACTATTTAAAAAATCTATATAAAAGATCTTCAAATACTTTACAGTTAATTTTTTTTTCTTTAAAAACTTTCCAATTATTGATAGTAAAGATATCATTGATCATCAAAAGTTAAATTTTTTTATCAAAGAGAATTGTAAATAAGAAAAAAGGGGTAATAAAAAATATATATTTTTTAGTTTTTTGGTTTTTTTTCTAAATAAATACTAGATATCATAAGTAAATTTTAATACTGGATAATAGATTTTTTTAATAAATAGGTTAATAAATATTCTAGATAATCTTATTTGAATAGAATCAAGTACTTTGTTTTTAAATACATTATATAGTGTCATCTTTCTAGCAATTTTAAAAGCTTGCACATACTGCGTCACCGAGATAAAATCAGAAATATGCACGGTTACACGGGAAGCGGCTTTTTTTCCCGACCACCGAGAAACAACGTCGGTGCAATCAGTCATGGACCAAGAATTAAATGACAAAATTATAATTAAAAACTTAGCCGTACGAAGTATTGTTGATGTCGATGCTTGGGAACGTGTAAAATGCCAACCCATTTTGATAAACCTTGCCATTGAAAAGAGTATTTCCAAAGCTGGCGAAACCGACGAATTCTCATTCGCCATAGATTATAGGGAAATAACCAAGGCCGTCACAAAATTCGCCGAGGAATCAACTCACAAATCAGTTGAAGCCCTGGCGGACGGGATAGCACAAATTTGTGTAAAGGAATTTAATGTACCAAGGGTTTCAGTCCGTGTAGAGAATCCGCGGGCGCTACTACGCGCAACCTCCGCGGGAGCGGAAATCGCACGCACCCACGAAAACTACATCGAACCTGTACACCTTAATGACAATCGAGATATCATCTTTGTTAAAGATTTGAAATTGAGCACGATAATTGGCATAAATCCTTGGGAGCGAGAGTCAAAGCAGATCGTGATACTGAATTTGACAATTTATTTCAATTTTCGCGTTGGAAATTCGCCATGTGATTACAGAATGATTGTGAAGAGAATATCCGAGGTATTATTGTGGCTGGCTATCTACCTCAACATTTGTGTACATATTAACGCGCGAATTATGTATTGTAGCATGTTGAAGAATCGTCCTACAAAACTATAGAAGCAATTTCTACAGCCATCACGAGAATTGCTGTCAAGCAATGTAATGTTAACAAGATCACCGTTCGCGTGGACAAACCAAATGCCACGACATTTTCCGAATCAGCCGGTGTCGAAATCACCAGAAACAGTTCGTATTTTGCGCAGATTTCACAGATAGCAGAAATAAAGAGTTTGCCAGGTGGATATGAACATGTTGTCTTCATCGGTCTGGGGTCGAACATAGGAAATCGCTATGGAAGCATCAGCGAGGCTTTGCGACAGATCGAAGAATCTTGCAATTGTAAGGTACTGGATACATCTTTTCTGTATGAAACTTCGCCAATGTACGTTGCCGATCAACCAAAATTCCTGAACGCCGCGTGTAAGGTAGTCTTCTGTTTCCGCTGCACGAATTCAAAAAAAAATTCTTTTTTTTACATGTTCTTTTTTTGCAAAAGGTCGCGACTAATCTGTCACCGGATGAGTTGCTTGGTAAGTTAAAAAATGTCGAATCTAATATGGGACGTGTCAAAGTAGTAGACTATGGTCCAAGGCTCGTCGATTTGGATATTTTGTTCTATGATGACATTGAATATAAGTCCGACACATTGACGATACCTCACCCATTAATATGTGAACGAGAATTTGTCCTACGTCCTCTATGCGAGTAAGTTTTGTTTAATACTTATATCGTCTGAACATTTAAGGATTAATTCACGCGCACATAATTTCGATATTAGCATTGCGAACAAATTTGAACATCCCAAGCAATTCAAGACATGCGAACAATTACTCTCTCAATACCTGAAATCTAATGATAATTCGAAAAATGTTGTCAACAAGATCTTGCCAATCCACGATTCTCAATGGATTTTAAATTCAAAGACGCACATCATGGGAGTTCTTAATGTGACACCGGATAGTTTCAGCGACGGTGGATTGTATGATAGCACAGAAAGCGCCGTGGCACACGCGGAAAGACTAGCATCAGAAGGTGCCGACATCATAGATATTGGTGGCGTTTCCACTCGACCAAACGCTAATGATGTTCCTGTTGAGGATGAGATTGCACGCGTCATTCCGGTAATAAAAGCGATTCGCACAAAGGGCACGATCAATACACCTATCTCGATCGATACGTTTCGTGCTGTGGTCGCAGAAAAAGCCATTGAGGCGGGTGCCAATGTAATCAACGATGTTTCAGGAGGACAACATGATCCAGACATGTTTCGTGTCATGGCGAAAGCAAATGTTCCGGTATGCATTCAACACTCGAGGGGTAACCCGAAGACAATGGCAAGTTTAAACCATTACGATGATCTCATCTCCGATATATGTGCGGAATTATTTGAAAGAGTGAAACAAGCCATTGAAGCGGGTGTCAAACGGTGGAACATTATCATTGACCCGGGTATAGGATTTGCTAAAAATTCCTCTCAGAATTTTCAAATTTTAAAACGATTTCACGAATTGATGGGCGAAGGAAGTCCACTCAAAGGATTCCCGTGCTTGATTGGTGTATCACGAAAAGGATTCATAGGAGAAGCGACAAAACAGTCCGTTGCCAAAAATCGTGGATGGGGAACTGCCGCCGCTTGCAGTGCGGCGATTGCAGGCGGCGTCGACATTTTGAGGGTGCATGATGTTAAGGAGATGGTTGACGTCGCTAGAGTATCGGATCGCATTTGGAGGAAATAAAGGACATTGGTTGCTCGCAGTTCTCATGCGAGCAGAAAAAAAAAAATATTTTTTTTTTCGAGGTAGTGCTGAAGTGATTTTTTTTAAGGTTACGATATATTACAAATTATATTTTCGATTGTTCGAATAAATGTCTCCCTCTAGTTGTCTGCAGGGATTGGCAGGGGTTTAACAAAATAAAAAGTGTATGATACGAGCTGTCAGTTGCGTCTTCTCCAATTCAGATTTGAGACATGCGGAAAAACTATAGAATAACCTCCCATTGAAATTTCACGCGACTATATCGCGTGTGACCTTTATCACGTGAAATACGAACTACCCGATTTAGGTGTTGTGATAAGGAAATTCGTAAACCGCAACCATCCTTTTTTTTTTTTAATGACGGACAAAGACGAATCAAAAGAAAGAGAGGAACAAACAAGTAGTACTTTAACAGTTCCTAGTGAGAAAAGTGCGAACTCCTTGGAAAATATAGACCAAGATGATACTAATGACAACAATGTTCAGGGTACCTCAACGGCAAAAGTCAAGAAGAAGAAAAAAAAGAAAAACAAATCAAACGTAGCGGAGAACGAATCGACAACTTCTGCGGATAAAGGATCAGGCAACAAATCTGCCAAAGATAAGGATGATTTGGATCAAATAGTGGCGCATATCATGAGGTAGTATGGAGAACGTTTTGAACTCGGGACCTTTATCGAAATTTCTAAGGTGCCGGCCGGGTGAATTTTGTAGCGACGAGAAACCGCAAACAAATTCGTGTTCGGTGCCAAAGTGTAAACAGAGTTTGGCAGTTATTAGTCATATTTGCCAATATTGTAATATGAAATACTGCATAGCTCACAGGTACAGGAGCGATGTGTATTTTAATTTCGTATGTTTGGCCATAAATCTAATGGTTAATCCTACTACCAGGCACCCTGAAGCACATTCGCCAAAATGCGTTGAAAAAGCTAGGAATGTCGCGCATGCTGGATTTAAACAAGAATCTATGCGCTTCATTTCCCAAGAAAGAAGAAATCCCGGATCAACAAACTCCAAAAATTTTAATGCAAACGAAAGTAAAGAGGATCTAAAAAAGAGGTATAGGGAAAAACTGGATAAAGCAAGGCGTGAAGAGAGAGGGGGAAAAGGCTCCTAAATTTCTTTGTACTAGACAAACACGGAATAATTTAGTTCGAAAAATTCTATTATTAATTTAATCAAAAAATTTATTACTCAATAAACAAAAGATCATTTTCATTTGGCGATGTTTGGATGCTCTTGCAGGTAGCGGCATGAAACTCTTCGAGAATCTGGGTATGACTCGTGGACCCTAAGATTTGAAATAGCGACGATAATGATCAGAGTATTTTTGTTCGCGCGCATATTAGAGCGCGAGAATTCTCTTATCATAATTAGATAATGCAAACAATTCCCCTATTAATAAATATTAACGAATTTTTACTTAGAAGACATGACAATGTTGGAGCGAAGAAAGAAATTATTAGTATTCATTCTGAAAATTATAAGTAAAAAAATGTGGAATAACAAATTAAATAAGATTTTCCTGACGTTGAAAAAAAGAAAAATAAAAAGAACCGTATAAATTTCGGCGATTTTTAAACGAATCCCGAGTTATTGATTCTTCTTGAAACACTAACATAATATAAATAATGTGAAAGAAAATCTAAACTACATAACATAGAAATGGAATGTGATGATAAAAAAGGAGTATCCTACCAATCTAATCTAATATTATATATATACTGTATATAACCTTTAAACCCACATTATCCGTCCTTAAGATTTTATTATTATTCTATTGTTTATTAAATAACCGGTCCACCGGGCCCTACTTGTGGCTGCACTGGTTGTACTTGTTGCTGTTGTTGTTGCTGCTGTTGGTGTTCGTGTTGTTTGTTACTAGAAGATTCCTTCAGCGCCAACAGTTGCTTGGATCGGAAAGCCTCATAATGAATCTGAGCCGTAGTTTCAATAAGATCTTGAAGGTGGGTTCTAAATATTGGAATGTGAGATGTTAATAATCGTGCAAAAATTAGAAATAACAATATCAATCACTCACTAGATCGGATGATTATATACCTTGTAAGAAAATCTCTAAGATGAACGAACTCGCAATGATCTTCATTCTCCACTGTAATTTGAGCAACGTAAATAAACCGTTTTTTTTTTTTTCTTTTTAACTACTCAAATTAAACCGAATTACCAACTACAATATCAACCTACCGTTAATAACACCCCATCGATTCCTTCGTCCGCGAACCTGTTTTCCATCAATAAGAACATTCTTCTCGGATCCAACGATGGCGAACGGAATCATTTGCTGTCGATTTGTAGTAATGTGCAAAAAAGATATGGTCATGCCATTTAATCCGAAAAAGATTATTTCACACGTTTCTCACCTTGATGCGTTCGTTAAGAGCAATTTCGTTGTCGTCAAGTTCATCACTCTCATAAGGATATAACTTGATGTTGTGATAAGACAACTCCGACTTTATCTACAGTACATGAATTAAATATATTTGATGTAAATAACATCATCGATATGGTGAACACTAAAGAAAAGAACCAACCCTTTCTTTGAATGCGACGCGTTCATCCATCGTTAGTGAATCTGATTTGGCGATAACGGGAACAACGTTAACAACCTCGGACAATTTTTTGAGCACGACAATATCAATTGGTTTAAGACTAGGAAAAATTTTTTTTTCGTTAATTAAGCACTTGTCATAAAATCGTTTTTGGAATCTGTAAATTACCATAAAATTCACTTACGCGTGACCAGTTGGAGAAATGAAAAATAAACAACAATGAATTCTGGTATCTTGAATGTAACGCTCACGCATGGCGGTGAGTTCTTTACGCAAATAAGCGCTATGTTGATCTTTAATATATTTGATGATGGGTTCCCAGCTACATTGAAAAATTTTTATAACGAGTTACAATGTATTTAGATAAATACGACAAATGACAATTGAAAAATCGACATACCAATTTTCATTGTTGACCTGATCACCATAACCGGGGGTGTCGACAATATTTAACCTCAAACGAATCCCATGTTCTTCAATTACTGTACAGAAAAGAACAATTGTCTTAATAAGCCAATCTCATATAGGTAAATAACGCTCAATTGATTGATAAAATCATCATACAATGTGATTCAGTTTGAATTTCAGTCGTTTGTCTGAAAGGTTCTTCGGCTGAGGTGCGACCTTTACTATCAATCAGATGAGCCGCGAAGATGGTGTTGATGAGAGTTGATTTACCGAGACCGGTTTGACCTACCGCGTAAAATTTACAAAGAAACCATTTGAATGTGTTGAGAATTGCGAAGACATAATCTAACTGTTTAAGCATACCAACGACAATGATGTTAAACTGGAATCCACGTTTTAGTAACTTTTTCTCAATCTGTCGGGTGATGGTGTCGAACCCTACGTAACCATTGAGGTTTGTCTATAGCAAAAAATTGTCGGATTAGCTTTAAGCGAGACTTGTGAAACAAGGAGGGCAAACTTTGATTGATGCGCTTCCTCCAACTCGAAAGTTTTTTAAACACGACCAAACCTTTGGAGGTTCGGCAGTGGCGGCGGCCATTTTTATAAAAACGTATTTAATGTATGCTTCGACTGGTCAAAAATCAAAAGAATATATTTTTTTGTGATTCTTGAAATAAGTTGAAGGAACGTATGGGGTGAGTTTCGCTTCTAGAGTGTAGACAAGAATTATTAAATTGTAACTTTTTTAGTTGGTAACAATTCACCGAACACGATTGGTCGCCTGCTGGTGGGACTAAAGTAATTTGTATTGCCGTGTATGGTTACCACAAACGAAAAAAAAACAAACCAAAACCAGTAGTGAAGAAAAAAAAAAATTTTCAAGTGGTGACTGTGAGATTCGAACTCACGCCTCTTTCGAGACCGCAACTTGAGTGCGGCGCCTTAGACCAACTCGGCCAAATCACCGGATTATTATATTTCGGTGACATAATTAAATGATAAGTTATCTAATCGGTTAACGGATGTGCGATAGAAATTGTTTCTAATTGAATAGTTATTTTTTTGATATTCTTATTGATACTTGATTAACATAAATTATTTTAATCTAAGTGATCTATTTTTACAAGTATATAAATAATCATAATTTATTCAAAAATAGGATATCTTTTCTTAACTTTAAAACTAAAGAAATTGGTTTGGTTTTTTTGATTTATTAATAAACTTGGATTCTGAGTAAAACATATTTCTTGTAAAATACTGTGTGAAACTGTTTAAAAAATTATTGTTAAATCTATTTTTTATTATTTTTTTATTATTACAAACTATTTCTTAAATTACTTCTTTGAAAATTATTCTTTTAAAAGCAATTTTACTTAAATATACTGATTAAATATAAATTTAATTACAATATTTGCTTATATAAAGAAAGTACCAAATTTACTGTTTTAAAATTTTTAATAGATTTAAATTTATATGAATATTTCTAAATGTTATTTTATAAATCTGTATATTTATATAATATGAAAATGAGTAAATATTAATTTTAGTTTCTAAGTATATTATACAAAGCTTGTTCTTATATATCTTTAAATTTTTATTATATAATTTGTTAAAAGTAAAAAGCTTATTGTTTTAAAAATTAATTGCAAATTTCTATTATATTAATCTTAAAAAGATATTATATTATAATTTATATTTCTGAAGTTTATAAATTTTGAAGTTTTTTTTGTCAATCTATAACTGAGTTTTGAATTTAATTTATTTATTTTTTATTTTTTTTAAATAATTCTATTAAATAGTATTTGTAAAAAAGTTAAAGAAAAGAAAAAAGAATCATAGATTTTCTTTCAAGATACTGCTAAGACATATAATATAATATTTTTTTTTATATCTAAAAAACCATAGATCAGATTTGAATCTCTATAACTATCAAAAAGATTATAATGGATCTTTTTAAAGATAGAAATTGTAATATTATTCTTCTTAATTAATTCTCTAATTAAATAGTTGTAGAAAATAGTATAGATCAAAGAGAAATAATCTTTCCACTATTATAAAGAATTTTTTACGACCCATTATTATATAAAATCCAAAATAACATTGATCTAATATATACTATATAAAAAAATAATTATCCAATTTAAATAAACTTGAGAAGAAGGTTAAACTCTTCCCAAAGCAAGCAATAATCATCTATATGGATAATATGACCTGAATTATCAAATTAAAAAAAGACTTGAAAAGTATTTTAAAAGAAGCAAAAAAGTTCTATATAGTAAATGACTCATAAATTAATATAGCAAAGTCAATTCTCCTCATCATTAATCAAAATCTTCAAAATCTTGAAATAGTTTAAATTGAAAGAAAAGATATTATAATTTATGAGATCAATAAAAAAGAAAAAATTGGATTTCTTGATATCTGATTAAAACTAAAATAGAAAAATTGGGACATAATTAATTTAATAAAATTAAAAATTATAATAGTAGTTCAAACAATAACTAAGAAAAAATTAATAAAAAAATATGTTAATATATTATCAATAGAGTTTGAGTTCAAGAATAGAATATAAAATACAATATATGTACCTGAATGAAAAGATACAGTATATATTAATCTTACAATTATTTAAAAAGGTTTTTAAGAATAAAGCCTTAATCTGTAAAACAATTTTAAACAGTTGTATTGATAACAAAGAAATATATGGTCTCAAAAGTATCTGGAAAATATAATTGAAAAGCTATATATAATATCAACACTATTCTATCAACTCAACAATAGTGAAATCTCTGATATAATCACTATAATCTAATTGAAACAAAGTCTGATTAAAGATTATAAACTTGAAAAAATCTTTAATAATTCTATGGACTTATACAAGCTGATCGAAGATAATCTGACAGTTGTAACATTGGTTCTAATCAAAGATCCACAGATCACCTTTCAAAGTTAGAAGTGAAAAAAAATCTTTGATTAACAAAAGAATATTCTATTTTATTATTATTATTTTTTTTTTAAAGTCCAACTGATGGAACAAAACTTTATTAGTATTCAGTAGGATTAAATTATATGAGCAATTCGTATAACCTTAAGACTACCTATCCTAACTAAATCCACCAATTTTATCACACATAGTAATACCATTTTCACCAGTTGCCCTGCTCTGTCCAAGACTCTAGCATTCCAAAGATCTGTTATAAACTTCCATTTTATATGTTCCTTTCTAGTAAGTTTGTATTTTGCTTAATGATCATAGGTACCATGAACAATCCTTACCATGTTTGGGTTCTCCGCAGGCTTAGTTGAAAGTTAAATAGTCCAGTCCTCTGGTCATGTTCTTGATATCCAAGTGATTCAATAGTATTACATCATTGGGTAACATATAGCCTTCCATTGCTTCATTTTTAATTACTTTTGCAAGTTGGTCTTGTAGGAGTATTCCTTGGTTACTTCATAGTGGATTGCTTCTCCTATTGGATTGGTTACCTTGGTGATTGTTTCCGAATTTCTTCTCCCAGGGTCTGCCCCTACAGGTTTTCCAACATGACACTAACACTAATCACCAGCCTCCGCAATAGCTGTCCTCTTTGATAGCCATTGGTTTTACAATCCATTGAGGTCTCCCATTAATTGTGTTACAGCCCGTTACATTTTCGACAGGTGCAAACAACTGAAGTTTTCCTTATCTTCCATAGGGTGTAGTTTTGACAAGAGATGGATGTCCTTCCCATTTCCATTAAGAGGCTTGAACTGATTGGCATTTTTTCTTGGCTTGTCTTGGATCTTTACATATTCCAGGTGACAAGTTTATCGGGAAGTTCCTTAGCACTAAAACCAGTCAAGGCTTGGATCACCTGAGTTTTTATATCATGATCAGATAGTAAAAATCTATAGGTTCTTTTATAAGTACAAGGGTGTATGTGATAATAAGCATGTATCTTGTATCACGTAACCTATTTGCGAAAACTGTTCCTAGATGGGATTGAACCAGTAACTCATGGATAGTAACCTGAGAGTGCATCCACTGCACTATTGACCCACAGGTCAGGATACCCTATTTATTAAATCAATACTACAAAATAATAAAGAATATATAAAAAAGTTATTTTATCATTATATAAGTATAAAATCATGTTTCTAGATCAAATCATTAATACAATTATGATAATACTTAAAAAATGAAGAGAAATCCAGATTCTCTTCAACAAATATAAAGGACTAATTCTCTTTTATACAAAAAAAATCTATAAAAAGGTAATAAGAAATTAAGATTTCTTAATAAAGTCATTATATGAACTAGATTGGACAGGTTACAATATGCAAACTAAAATTTTTTTAATATATTTAGATAGAAAGAATATATACTAAGCAATCTATTTTAGTTTTTTAACTAATATATTAGAAAAGATATTAGTCTTAAATAACAAAATTTAATTGACTTCATTTCAGTTATTATACAACTCTATTAGAAATCACATCCTATTTTAATCAGATAAATTATCTCAAGTATTAGAAATAGTCCTATCACAATTTCATCTTTTTTTACAACTAAATTAATATCAAAATCTAAAAAAAAGAAAACCTAGTCCTTTTACTAATCAATCCTATAAATTGATAAATAACTACAAGAAACCAAATATTAACTTCACCAATTTTTAGACCTGTAGAAGTAAAAATTCAGATAGAAAACTGAAAAATTATACTAATATGACAAACTATTTAATTAAAAGAACATACTGTATATATGAATTTACAGATGAACAACTCTTTCCCGTAGATCCCTGACCACCACTTTCAAAGAAGCATTCCCCCTAAACTCTATGTTTAGGGAGTAATAAAACTTCATAACTCTCCTTAAAAACATCTACTTCGGTTAGCAGTAATTATACTCTACCCTTCTTGTTTACCTTTCCTCTTCAAAAACCCTCTACCTAAGAAGTTAAAGGCAAAAAAGCTTTTCTAGGAAGAAGAAATCAGATGAAAAAAACATCCTCCCTTCCTTCCCTATGGAGATCCCAAAGTCTAGGAAGAAGTGTGGGCCAATAACTCCATGCCAGCCTGAAGAATTGACATTAATACCACAGGCAGAAATGACTTCTTTTCCAATGTGCAGCAGTTTTTCTTGGTATTTTGGGGAATTTTGCTTACCCCAACTTGACCCTGAATTTTCTGTTACACCGGATTTTGGACAGATTGATTGGCTGAAGATTGGAATTGGTTGCTCCATGGTTAGTAGAAAAGTAAACAAGGATACACGTGACATAAGATGTGAATGCATTTCCTAAGCTCCATAAGAACCTTAGGTCCATTATAAGTCATTGGCTAGATGCAGATAGATAAATATCATATGGACTGTAATCTCTTCTCTCTCATTAATCCCAAAAGTGTCAAGGCTATGAATTGAGTACCTTCAGAGGCAAAGTTGAATGGACGGGTAGTTGTTGAGTGTCCCTTCATTCCTTTCCCTATTCCATCTTCTTATAAATATTTTTAATCTCCCTCCTCGTTTTTCTTTCTCTTTTCCTTTACCTCTATTTTTTCACACTGACTGGTCCTTGACCAGTACAAATAACCCTTAGCATTGGATGGTGTTGAGTA